TGAACTGATCAATTGTTCTGTCAGAACAATACTCTGTTTGTAACCATGTGTCATGTTCTGTTAATAAAACGCTCTGCGGAGGAGGTCCAGTGTGAGAAAGCGGGTTTGAGTCTGGGGTTCAACTGTCTCTCCTTCTGCAGAAGCCGTATGAAAAATCCCTTACTGTGTATTTCAGTTCTTCCTTTTACAAAAACCTACATTTTCTAAACCCAACAGGTGGAATGATCTCTGTTGCACCGCAGAAAAATTGTTGAGTTTCATTTTTTTCATTTTGCAGTTCTGTAAATGGAAGTAGAAAGTGCAATAGAGAAATCAAACCTTGAAAAACAGAAATAAAAAAAAAGGTTTTGAGATTAACTCTTTTGTCACATTTATTTTTATAATATTTGCTGTTTGTTTTACAATTTTTTCTATTTAATTTTTTTCAAATGTCAATATAATTTATTTTCTACAGATTTGTTTTTATATTTCTTTTTTAAATTCTCTGCTTTTGGATTCAGTTTTATTAATTGCATTCTTTGAAATTGTGTTTCTCACATTTCCTTTACTTCTGGGGGCAGGTCTTACTCTGGAGTGAGGCGTGAAGACGCTTTTCTATTGGTCTGTTGGATGTAAACAACATGTTTTTGGTCAAGAGGGTGCATTTATATTGCATTTATATTGGGCTTAAAGAGAACACGGGGATGGAACTCAATGGTAAAGAAAATGACTCTTATTTCAACCGTTGCGTATATTAGCTGCGACATATGAATCAAGATGCTATGACTGAAATATTTGATTGACAGATGACTGTTGATATATGATTGGCCGAATTTAGGTGTACAAGCTGACGTATTACTAATTGGCCTACATAAGATAACGAGAAAACCCCCACAGACTTTAAGACAGGAATTTTTTTTTTTTTAAATAGAAATTTTCAATATTTTGGGGCAATATCGTCTGATAAAGAGTACATTTATATAAATGTTTAAGCCAGAATGATTTGACAATCAAATAAGATTTCCCGACGACTTTTCATCCACACATCCATCTGAAAGGCGTGTGGATGAAACACCATGTGACTGTGTTTTGGCCATTTCTATAAATAGATAAACATGAGCAGGTGTTAGTTGGGCCTGTACCGGGTTGGCCTGGCTTTAAACTTTGAAGTAGCATGGAAACGTCGATTAAAGCTCAGCTTTGAGAGTCTTTTCTACTCCAGTCAAGATGCTCCTGCTTTTCTGTTGATAACCTTTTTAATAGAATCTGTGAAAGTCACCAGAGAGGAGGGCCTTCTTCATCCTGACGGACGCTACAGCACACCAGCAGAGGATTGTGGGATTTGTTGTATAGGTTTTGAATGTAATTACTTTGTGGGTAACATTGCCGTAAACATTTCTGTACACCAAGTTTCATCAGTTTTCAAAAGGAGAGCCTATAGAATAAAAGATAATTCAAGCTCTGGGTACATACAGTAGGTGTGCATTCTAACAAACATACTACATAGAGGCAGAAACAAGTTCCTACACAATCCCAATCTGCTGTTTAAAGCCAAAATGAGCAGACTACAAATGCAGAATAGTTCCCTCATGCAACACAAATGTACCTGCTGGCATTTCTTGAAGCATCTATAGAGTTGAACATACATTGTTCTGAATTTCACCAGCGTTCTGCTCCATTATCCCGCAGCTCGTACAAGATGACGACCAATAAACATGGAGTCTGCTGCCAGGGGGAAAAGAGGCGGAGGCATCCGCACAATGGCAGCAATCACAGGTGTTAAACAGCCCTTGTCAGAGAATCCCTCCCCCTCTCAAAAGCCTGTCAGCGCTACAACAGATGAGTGCGTTTCTCCACGCTGGCAGCGGCACCCAGATATTCATGAGCGGGTAACATGAATCAGCCGCGCTGAGGTGCCTGTTATGACCACGACAATGCCGAGCTGATTCACCAGATCATCTGCAGGGAAGGGGGGTGTTTCATCATACGGTGAAAGAATCTGGCTGCCATCACTCCAACGTGCTTCATCGAGTCACTATTTCACAAGAAAAACAGGTTATTGAAGTTCCATCATCACACTGCTTTAATGAGCAGCACTCAGGCCGTGAGTTTGGTCCGTGACAGAATCGGACTGGGAACGATTTTCGGCCCTGGCATTGTTCCATCTACACCGGCCCACTTATGGTTGGCTTCTTTTGTCCCCCCTCAGTCAAACCAGTGCGTCTCAAATGTGAAACAATACAAATTGTCATTGTGGATTAACCAATCTATCTTCAAACTCCACACCACAACCATCACCAAGACTTCTACAATGCAGTTTTTCTGGCATTTTTTTAAACGTCATCCAACATCCAGCCACTGGAGTGACCCCCCTCCTTCTCCTGGGCATGCATATTTTTTACTCTGACTCCACCCTTTAACTGAATTACAGGGTCTGACCAGAAGATGACGCTTCTCTTTAGATCTTAATGTCCAAAAATCAGGACAGAAAGAATATTTTTGTACCAAGATTGAATTTTTGAATTGAATTGGATTCTTTATTTCAAACATGCAAGAGAAAAACAAAAAAATCAATGTTTAAAACATTGGAGAGAAAAACAACAAACAAGGTAACTCTTTCCTGAGTTAATATACCTCCATTACATGTGTGAAAAGGAGCAGGAAGAAGTAAACCTTATGTGCTCCTACCCCTTTAA